TATATGTATATGGTTATTTTTTTTTAAATCTAACTCTAAGATGTACACTTGCTATTTTTAAGTTGTATAACACAATGTTCTATTCAAGCCTTAACTACTTTTTCAGTTGTAAGTGTACCCTACCTATTTTCATGGATGCTACTAATTCTTTCATAGGGGTAAGACATAAATGGCACTTAAAGAAAAAGGAGCTCTGTGGTTGAGTACTGTAGACCCATGAACCAAGAAGTCATCGGTTTGATTCCCAGTTGGGGCACATGCCCAATTTGCAGGCTCAATTCCCAGCAGGGACATGCAGGAAGCAGCTGATAGTTGTTTTTCTCTTCTCAATGTTTCCATCTCTCTATCCCTCTCCCTTCCCCTCTCTCTAAAATCAATAAAAACATATTTTAAACAACAAGAATATAGATGGAATCTCAAGATATTTGCAATTAAGAGGGCAACACTAAAATATCCAAGTTAACGGAGGTATTTCACCATGTTAAAAATAATATACATTGTAAATCTCCTGTCTCCTACTATGTTCCATACTTATTTATTCTAGTTCTAGGATAAATGCCGGGAAAAAAAAAAGTTTTTTTTTTAAAGGAAACAAGGAAGAATATTAAGCATGATTTGAAAAAAATTTTCTCTTGCTGGTTAGGAAAGGGCTTCTGAGATGACAGAAGAAACTATTTAAAACAAAATTTCAAAGCCTTCCCTCTGATTTTTAAGAGATGTGATGAAAAACATCTGATTGGAAGACTTAAAAATATATTTATTCTGCTACATTTTATTTTATACTTTGATAAAGATCTTACATATTGAACAAGAATTCTGTATTAAATGAACCACTGAATGTGGAATGTCAGTACCTGAAAACAGGCTAACTATTACAGGTATCAATATGCTTAGAATCACAGGATTGCTTCTTTTTATAAAGACCGAATCTTCCTATAAATTCTATAAATTGGATATAAGGAATAACAATTTAAGAAATTATAAATTGTTTCAGTTTATAAATTTACATTCTTTTTAAAAAATATATTTTTATTGATTTCAGAGAGGAAGGAGAGGGAGAGAAACATCAATGATGAGAGGGAATCATTGATTGGTTGCCTCCTGCACTCCCCTCACTGGGGATTGAGCCTACAACCTTGGCATGTGTCCTTGACTGAAAATGAAACTGGGACCCTTCAGTCTGCAGGATGACACTCTATCCACAGAGCCAAAATGTCTAGGGCACAAATTTACATTCTTAACTTTTCAATTATATTTGGGGTTTGGAATATAAGGTTACTTGGTTTCAGTAGTAAACACTACCCCTCCCTTTGATATTAACCACTATCCCTATTTTCAGAATGCAGTTTGTTTGTGATGTTAAGGAGCCATTTATAAAGAAACTGCCATGGACTCTGGAGTCAGAAAGACTTAGGTTTATGTCTAAGTTCTGCTTCTTAATAACTATATATTGACAAGTTATTTACATTCTCTGAACTTCAATTTCCTCATGTAAAAGTAGAAATATTATAAACAATCACAGAATGGTTGTAAAAGAATGATGTATAAAGGCAATTAAGAACAGCAATAGCCCTGCCCAGTGTGGTTCAGTGGTTAGAGTGTCACGGGGTCGATTCCCTGTCAAGGGCAAGTATTAGGTTGCAGGTTTGATCCCCTGGCCCGATCTGGGCGCATTTGGGAGGCAACCAATATATGTCTCTCTCTCAATTTGTTTCCAGATCTCTCTCCCTCTCCTTTCTACTCTTTCTAAAAATCAATGGGGGGAAAAATCCTCTGGTGAGGATTAAAAAATACACACCAAATAGTAATAAACAGCACTGACTTTGGAGTTAGACTGGTTGTGCTTGAGTCCAGGCTCTGATGTTTGCTATGTAACCTTAAACAAGTTTTTAAATCTCTCTGTGTCTCAGTTTCAGTTTCCTCAATTTTAAAGCAGAGGTAAAAGCAGAAAGCTAAGCTGCATTTTAAATGGAAAAGTTTAACACGTAAGACACACATACATATACCATAAACCTTAACACCATTAAAAACTGAAGATGTTAGGGACACTTCTATAAGAAACACCTTCTATAAAAAAGTATTCAGGATTAAATAATGGTAGAATAAAAATGAAAATAAAATTCTGACAAAAGGAGAATCAAAAAGGGAATAGAAGAAAAGGAAGACTGGCACTCTTTTGGCAGCAAACATATATAAAGGTTTTGTTGTTGTTATTACTGTTTTTTCTTAAGTTCTAGGAGAATCCAAGAATTCACTCTCTAACAATATTAGACTCACATAAATTAGATAAATTCTGATCTTTCTCTTCTGTTGGCTCACTAAAGTCTGAGTCACATAAAAAAGGTCTTGGATATCTATAAAGCCATATGACATGAAAGCATTTCTAAGTAGGTAACAAGCCTTGAATTAAGACATGTTAACAATTTCTGCCACAGCAGAAAGAATTATGGAAATAAGTATGCAATTCAAGTTTTAAATCCTTCCAAATCCCTATTATAATGAGAACAAGTAATTTACTGGAAAAAGATTAAAAGTACGAAGAAACACTCTCTTATTATGTCATTTTAAAACACACTTTGAACAAAACAAGATAATAAAATATGCTGCCTCTTAAAAGGCTTAAACACAGACCTTTCCCAAAATATTTCCACTGCTTTTAGTATAGTTTGGAAGAGTACATGATCTTCTTGGTTTTTTCTTTAGTTCTTCTTGTTCTAGTATCTTTCTTTTTAAAAGTGCTTCAATGTGTGGCACCTGTAATTTATAAAGGAAAATTTACTATAAGGCCAATTACTCTTGTAACCAGGCAGTCTATAATGAGAACAAAGAAAAATCAATAATTTGGACAACTCAATAACATAAAGTTACTAGTAAGCAGGCATTACTTTAAACCAGGGGTGGGGAACCTTTTTCTGCCAAGGGCCATTTATATATTTATAGTATCATTCGAGGGCCATACAAAATTATCAGCTTAAAAATTAGCCTGTTATATTTGGACAAACATTTAATTAACTCACCCTCACTGTCTTGGCAGGGTCAGACAAAGTGGTTTGTGGGCCATATAAGGGCCAGATGTCCACCCCCACCCCCAACCCCTGCTTTAAAAGAATATGGTTATGGTAATGTAAAACTTTCATTCACCTCACTGATTTCTTATCTTAATTAAGAAATACACAACCTATAATACAACTTCTCTTTGAAAGTGAGTTATATAGTACATAAAAGAACATAATTTTAAAATACTCTATTGTCTTGTGTTTATTTAATTTTCTTTGCCACTACATATATTGGTTATAACTTACGCAGTCTCTTCAATGCAGTTCTCAAGTTGGTGTATTATTAATTTTACTTATTGGTGTTATTACATTAGAGATACAAACTGCAGCCTGGCTGATGTGGCTCAACAGTTGAGCATCGACCTATGAACTAGGAGGTTATAATTCCCAGTTGGGGCACATGCCCAGGTTAGATCCCCAGTAGGGGGTGTCCAGGATGCAGCCGATAAAAGATTCTCTCTCATCATTGATGTTTCTATCTCTCTCTCCCTTCCTCTCTGAAATCAATAACATTTAAAAAAGCGAAAAAACCCAAATTTTTTTTGAAATTTATTTGAAAAGAGAACTCTTATCATTTTGCTAGCCCCTTTTTATTGTCTAGTAAGTGACTAGACTACAATCCACATGTGTCTTGGTTCCCAAAAATAATAGTGCCCATAAAATTCCTAATATGAATGGCAAAAAAAAAAAGTAAACTAGAATTTAATAAAAAAAAAAATTTCACATATACTTGGAAACTGTACCTGTTGTGTTGTAGGAATGTCAATATTATTTGTTTTTAGTTCATTTCGCAACTGGGCCTCTTTTGATTTTGCTACTTCAACTTGGCCTAAAATTCAAAAGAAACAAATAAAAAAACCCCTGCATCAATGTGTAATAAAATAAAAATATTAAAAAAAATATTTTCAGTCTCTTATTGTCTTCCTTATAATGAATGACCTAAAATAAAATCTAAAATTAAGATCCTGCTCTAATATACAAAAAAATTAATTGGTTAAGATATTATATTATACTAAAAACTCCAAATAATCTTGGATAATTTATTTAATCCTAATCCATATGCTTATCTATAAATATGTAATACCCTAATATGCAAATAGACCGAACAGTGGAACCAAACAACCGGTCACTATGACATGTGCTGACCACCAGGCGGCGTCGGCAGCGGGCAGCAGAGCACAGAACATAGCGGGCGTGGGCCATGGTGGGATGGTGGAGCAGGTGAGCAGGTGTGCCAGACCAAGCCAGTCGCTGTCATTGGGGCAAGCCTCTGGTGGTTACTGAAAATTCTTTGCTCCCTCGCACTGGGGTCCCGCCTGGCGCTTGAGAGCACCCGCTGCCAGCACCAGAACTGCCGCTCACACCTGCTGGCACTGCCCAGTCCCGACCCCGATCACTTGGCATCGTCAGTGGGTGCCAGCAGTGGCTGTCAGTCCCAATCACCCCTCAGGACTTCTCCACCTCCTCCTGCTCCTGAGGGGCAATCAGGGCCAGCAACTGACTCTCACACCTGTTGCCGGCGACAGCCCCACTTGCACCCACTGTAGCACCAGAGCCGCCGCTTGTACCCACTGCCAGCACTGGCCCTGCTCGCACCTGCAGCCGGCACCCGGTGCAGGTCCCAATTGCTCGGCACCGTCAGCGGGTGCCAGCAGCGCTGCCGGCCCCGATCACCTGATGGCTTCTCCACCTCCCCCTGCTCCTGAGGGGTGATCAGAGCAGCTCCCACTACTGGCGCTGGCCCCAATCTCTCCGTGCTGTCAGCGGGTGCAAGCAGGCCCGGTACCATTAGTGCATGGGAGCGGTGGTGGCGGGACTGCCGGCAGACGGTATCAGGGGGTGAGGCCATGGTGGGTGGAGCCAGGCAGGGGAGCGGAGGATGGCCTGAGACCTGCCCCTGTGCCCACCGCAGCCTTGCGGCCCACAGTTCCTTTCAAGGTGCATGAATTCATACACTGGGCCCTTAGTCTATATATATAAAAGCCTAAGTGACTGGACAACTGGCCAGTAGCTATGATGCACACTGACCACCAGGGGGCAGACGCTCAATGCAGGAGCTGCCCCCTGGTGGTCACCCCTCAGGACTTCTCCACCCCCATAGCGGGAGTGTCACCAGATGACGGACTCAGCTGGAGAGCCTCTCCCGCAGACATTTCCCTTGCTCGCCTGAACAGTGGAGAAGGCAGGCACAGTGAGGCCGGGAGTGGAAGTGGCTTGGTGCCCAGACCAGGCTCCTCCCCAGCTGCCTGCCACTTCACACACTACTTCGTGCTGTGCGGGATCGATGCAGACACCGGGCTGGAGCCCGAGAGCTGGCGGGTAAGGCTGGGCTATGGCAGCGCATAGGTCCATTGATCCCTGCAGGTCAGGCAGAGGGACCCTACTGGTGCATAAATCTGTGCACTGGGCCTCTAGTATATAATATACACATACATAATTGCGTAAGGTTGTTGCAAGAAACAAATAAGGCTTTACTTAGTTCCTATTATCTTCTTAATACCCTTAACTTTAGATAGATAATACAAAAGTGAGTATACATTGATGGAGGCAGTACATATTTGTTGGTAAATGGGTCAAAATTTTAACTATATAATTAACATAGAGCCAAAAACCACAGTAAAAAAAAATATGACAAATGGAAAGAGATGACAGAGCACAACTCATCAAATGCCTTAAAAGTGTACAAACATTAAAATTTGCAGCAAACATTCCATGTATTGATTAAAAAATAAGTTGTACATTTCTATATCAATGTATGCTGCCCTATACACCTCCATAGTGTGAAATACTTAAGATATTTTAAGTAATAACACACAATTCCATTACTCAAAATAAAAATCACATTACATATCCCACAGTGATACTGTCATCTAATATCATTGCCAGAAGCTGGAGCTGGATATAAACATTATTATTATGTCAAGGCCTTAAATTTCCACAGATTTATAATTCTTAAAAATCTTGAATTTTTGTAGGTAAACAGGATATAAATTCACTTGAAGTAAAGAAATATTTCATCTTAAGTAGCTCAAATGAGGAATAGTGTAAACCATTATTACCACCTTTCTGCAGTGTTCTGCAGTTTACTTGTAGTTTAGGAAAGTGGACAGTGCTTAGCTCATGGTCTCAACCTTCTGCTTCATCACTCCCTAAAGCATATTTTTTATTACCTTTGAATACAAAATGACTTACACTTCATTTCATCAATAAGCTGTTTGCTGGTTTCAAATACAGTTCTATACATTTCAATAGATTGAGATAATTCATCCTTTTGTTTTGCAAATGCTAGCATTTGTTGCTGCTTCTTAACATCTAAAAAGAAATATTCAGATAATTTAATTCAATTAAAAATTGTGACTTTTAAATATTTCATAACATGACTAGATAATTAATAAGCACAATATTAATGGAAAGCAAATCAAGATGATAAAGTAACACAAACATAAGAGTTTAATCCTCTATTTTCCTAGAAACTTACCATTAGAAAACATAAATGGTAGACTATATGATTCTAATGTTCTTGATAAATCTGGTAGCTGAAGCTCAAATTTAATAAAATATTCAGTACTATCCTTTCCAGGACTATTTTCTGCCAGCACTAGACTCTGAGTAAATAAAAAAACAGTAACAAAAAAAATTTAAAAAGATATTTGTCAACATATAAACATTTTATTGTGCTGTTTCCCAGTAAGTGGTAAATTTTAACACTGACCCATCCTTAAGATTCATTAAACATTTTATATTTTGATATTGGTTTAAAAGCAAAATGATCTTATCAGTAAATGATTATGCAAAAACATATACAATGGAAAATTATAATAAGAAAAAGTATCTTTTCTTTTAGACCTTAGAAATATCTTCCTGATTCAAACCTTTTCAGTTGAAACAGGTGTAAACAGTTGATGGTATGAAAGTTATAAAAACAACCACAAAAAAAATGCCCAAAGCCCAAAGCTGAGTTTACGTTACAGCTGTTACCATGAAAGTAGACCCACCAGTCCCAGGTGACTGAACAAGAGATCCAGAAAAAAGCTCTGACGATTTATTTTTTATAAAAATTGTATTTTCTTCATTAATTCACACACACACAAAAACCTTTGGTATACTTTAGTTTAAGGCAGCATACAACTAGTAAATGATGCAAATATAAACATTTATATAATAAAGGATTTTTCCATAGTCTTACAGGTAACAGATGCTAGCTGTTTTGTGTTTTAGACTATAATAATACGAATCATGGAGAAGTAGAATTTTAAAAAATGTAAATCAATAGAACACTATAGAACAATCCACAAAATAAAATTACAATTATAGTGAAAAATTCTTAGAATATAGAATACAAAACCATTTAACTGATCCCTAATCCCACTTAGTTTTTGAAAGATGTTTTCAGTGTACTTACATGAATATAAACACAAATAAAAATAAAACACTACTTGCATTTAAAAATAGCATATACTTTATACTTCAGCAATTTGCTTTCAGAATTTGATTTGTTGATCAATTCCAGTCAATGACTAGATACTAATTTTAAAATTTATGCATAGGACAGATATACTACACTATAATATTCTTTCACTGAATGATGAATATCTAGTTTATTTTTTAAAATTAGCTATTATGTAGAACACAGCAAAGAAAATTTTTTTACTACTACTTTTTGTGTTCTTTAGAATAGGTAACAAGAAATATGACTCATTAAAACAGGTTAAAAGGTAGTATCAAATTTCCTTTAACAAAGGCAATATCAATTTATACTCTTGCCATTAGTGTTTAAACATATTTAGCTCCCCTGATGCTGGCCAACACACTATCAATCAAGTTTTTTTTTTCTTTCTAAAACGATGGATTAAAAGCAATTAGCCATTATTGCTTCAATCAGCATTTGGCATTGAAGTCATGTTTACTGGTCATTTATACTTTCTATTCCATTAATTCATATTCTTGGGTTACTTGTTTGTCTACTAGATTGTTTTTTTTCTTTGATTTGCAGGAATTGTTTTTAAGGAGGTTTAAAAAATATGTTTAATATATTAATCTTGCCTTATATGTAGAAATACTGTTATACATATATATAGTAATACACACACAGCCATACATATGTAGCAATATTTCTACCCAACTTATCTTTACAACTTTATTAAACAACCATATAATGAATCTCTATATGGCATCATTCAGTATCAATAATTATCAACATTTTACCATTGTTCTTTTATTTCTAAGATATGTTTATGGTATATAAAGTTTTAACTCTCTATATAGTTAAAAAAACAAAACCTCTCCTTCATGTCTTGTTTAAGAACAATTTCCTATTTCAAAGTTTTAGTTTAATCTCTGATGTATAGCTTTTCAAAAAAAGAGCATATACAGAATAACAGAAATGAAGAGAACTGAAGAGTCCAAAACTGAATCCACGTACAAACGGAAATTTAGAATATGATAGACAAATGCATAGCAGAATGAAACTTAGACACTTCTTTCAGAAATTTCCAGATCAAATAGGCAAATAATATCGAGACTTTGAATAACAGGTTAACAACCTTAAAAAATTATATATTCAGATTCTAACTTTAAAGAAAGCAATACAGGTTCTTTACAAACAAATGTGTAACATTAACAAATACTGGTTGTACACTGGGTCAGTGTTTCCTACATGTCCCTAGTGATAACAATCACTTGCTTATTACAAATCAAATTACAGAGCCCTGCCCCAGACCTCCTAAATCAATAAATGGGTCAGAAGCCAAGCAGGAATTGAGTTTTCTGCTTATTTAGTGTGATATTAAGAAACTCTAGTGGAAATTTATATGTGTGACATGAAGCTTAGATTCTGTATATAATTGTAGGGGAATAGCTTATGTCATCATCCCAACCTCAGAAATGTGTAGTGGGGTTAGTGATTTGAAAAGCCTACGGGGGGCCAAGGAAACAGGACATATGTAAATAGGAAATAAGTAAAGTGGACTAGCTGTATTCTTCTAAAACAAACCTACTTGGAAGTTCAACGTATCTCGCCCCTTTGTTTTTCAACATGTGGCTTTCATTACCTCATTTTTGTGAGGGTACAAGAAAATTTCACTTTACTCTCCACTGAAATAAAAATAAAAGAACAAGTGTAAATATAAGTATCAGCTGACACTTGCTCTCAATGTCAAGAAATGAAAAGAAGTGGCATAAATAGAACTGAATGGAAAGTCCTGCTGCCCTAAGAGAATCTTGGCTCAGTATTGCTGTGTTTGTAGAATTCTCCAAATAAATCAGAAATGCTTATCTTTATGTAAAAATTCCAGATCTTTAAATGTTGAAAACTAGGTCCTTCATTGACAAATCAACTGACATGTCTACTGTAGGCGAGATGCAAGCTAGCAGACTCCCTGATTATAAGCCTAATGTTATTAAAACAGGATGATATGTTGTACACCTGATATACATATGCTAAGTATAATTTTTTAAAAAGTGGTATTAGCATTGGTCTACATATAAAAATAAACACTGACAAAAAGGTTGACACTTCAAATTTACTTATACAGGAAGAATTATTAAATAAATGATACCAAGAAATTTAGTTGATGAATTTGAAAAAAAGGATAAAAATAAAATTCAGACAAATAAAAAATTAAGTGCATAAGAATACTACAGCTAGCACTGCAAATATAATCTTCCCTCCTGCCCCAATATAAACAAAGCCCCCAATAAAAGACAAACTCAGGCAAAGTATTTATATACAAAAGAGCATTAATATATTTAATATAAAATTAAGAAAATGATGAACATTCCAAAGAAAAAGAGTTGAGGAACAATCCTACAAAGATCACAAATATGAAAAATGTTCAACCTTACTAGTAACAAAAAAATTTACATATTTTTTAAATAGAGGAAACGGTTAGAATTTTAAAAACTTCATATTCAGGGTTGGTAATATTATAAGGATGTACACATACTTCTGGTGGAAATATAAACTGAGGAGCAATAGGCAATAACTACCAAAAGGCCTAGTCTCTAACCTTCTACCAATTTCTTATGGAGATAATCAGATATATGTAAAAAAGGATATACATAGAAGCTGATGGAAGCACTGCTGATAAAACAAGCTTTGGAAAGAAACTAAATTTTCACTTAGGACTGATCAAATAAGTGATCATCAATACAATAATCTAGGTTTATACTTATTGATAAAGAAATATGCCAAAGATGTGTTAAAAGTAGAAAACACTTTTATAAAAACAATGTTCTATAATTTCACATACACACTACCCCAAGTATATAAATCATATACACACAGAGTATCTATCCATACAATGTTAGTGTATAAATGAAAACTCCGGAAGTTATACACTAAATTGTTAATCATCATCTCCAGAGGGTGATAATATAATGATTATTATTGAATTTTTGCACTGTGTATTTTCTATAACTAAAATTATTTCCCTTTTGGGAAAAAAATACAAAGATAAGTTGATTTATTAAATTTTTCTAAGATATGTATACATTTTACCCGAGCTATGTTTCATTGTTTCTATCCACAGAATGATAGCTTTTCAATGAAACATAAATATATTATCACTGAGGCTAAAAATACAGAAATCTCAACTACCAAAAGATGTAAAAATTACCGTGATGTTAGCGGAACCTTTTACAAAAGGGAATTCAAGTGTTCTAACTTTCCCGATAAAGAGTGGTGTATCAGTATCTTCCTCATTAGAACCTTTGATGGTAGCTATTACAGTGCCAACCAAATCAAGTCCAGTCTGATTGTTGAAGTCATCCTTAAATTAAATAATGGAAAATAACTAATTAGAAGAACTGGTAAGAAAACTAAACCCAGTGAAGGACATGTGCAAATAATAATGAAAAATATTAAATTATCCTGATTCTTCACTCTAAGCACAGAATTCAATTCTCAGATTAAGTGATCCATGGGCAGAACATAATCCCAGAAACCAAGAAAAACCAGCAGTTTCCAACTAATACAATGGCTCCTAACTATCTTTCTAAGAGCTCCCATTTTAAAATGTCATCTTGTTATGTACTTTTAACATCTATTGATCTGGGGCAGAGAAGTTAAGAACATCCTACTTGTCTAAAATAGGAAAATAAACTGAAAGAAATTAAGTACCTTATCTGAAAAATTTTCCATAAAGGTGAGGTGCCACCACTATTTTTTACTTGTTTTTGTTAATATTCACGGCAATTCTATTGCTGCTTAGTCTCCAGGTAATCAAAAGCTCTGAGGAGGAGCTCACTATGATCAGTTATCAGAGCAGCTCTCTTAAAAATAATTAATTACCTCCTTCTCTCCCCTCAATGAAATGTATATTGTGGAATCAATTTACTTGACGCGTATTTACAACATATATAAAATAGGAGATATAAAGGGGATATATTGAGAGGATATATTGAGAGGTAGGTTTTTGCATTTTTGAGTCAGTTCTACTTAGTATATCTGGATATATTTTATGTATTATGTATGCATACTATATTTGTATTCAGAGATGTTTGTATTTATCTAAACAAATTTTCCTTATGACCTAAAACTGAATTATCAAAATCTGATTCTATAATAACTATTTTACACACTAAAAATTAGAAAGAATTCTTGCTACCCAATGCAATTTTGGAAGTAAATAAACATTACCGTGATAATAAGATGTAAATCTTTGACCAGGGTCCTATTGGCAACTGAGTGAACATTTGAAACAGCTGGTGTGGCTGGCTGAATTTTAGGTACTAACTTCATAGGTTGATTAGGTTGAACATCAATTATAATCTTTCAAAACAAAAGAAGAATTTCAATTAACAATATATATTAATAGCTGAGAATTTAAAAGAGAAGAAATGATAGCATATACTAAATGAAATGTTACTTTTAAACATGTACTGTCATTAATCTCTCAAAATGATTTAAATTAACTTTTAAAAACTGAGGATAAAAATGTGTATCAAAGATTAATTTTTCAATGTAACTAAGGATAAATTTATAGACATGTAAAAATACAGGTAGTTTTTAAAATTTGATACACTACCATTTATTGAATGGAGATGACATATGTTAAAACTACTTAAACCCCATTATCTATAACTAGAGGCCCAGTGCACAGATTCATGCACTGGTGGGGTCCGTTGGCCTGGCCTGCGCCCTCTTGCAATCTGGGACCCCTCAGGGGATGCCAAACTGCCGGTTTTGGCCTGATCCCCGCAGGCCAGGTGGAGGTGCCCCACCGGTGCACAAATCTGTGTACCAGGCCAGTTTCAGCCCAATGCCCACAGGATAGGCTGAGGGATCCCACCAGTATACATGTAAAATCTTTGGTTAATCTCTTCCTGCCTCCCTCACTTTCCCTTTGAGATTCATTTGTCTGTTCCATGTTTCCATGACTGTGCACTGAGTGTCTGCCGCCTGGTGGTCAGTGCACGTCACAGCTACCGGTCCAATGATCAAACGGTAGATAGGTCAAATGGTCACTTAGGCTTTTATATATATAGGTTCTAGCATGTGAAAAGTTATTAATTGAAAAATTTTCACATATGATTGAGAGCAGCAACCTTACCGTGATATACACTAAAATGATTATTAACTGAGTCTTTGATATATAAAGAGATGGAGAAAGTAACTTCAGCAGCAGATCCTATTAATTAATATCATTTAAATGCATTCTATTCTAATATTCCTGAAAATGGCATTATTTATATTTTGCATCCAGTAATTAATTCACTTGCATCCAATAATTAATTCACTTTAAAATAAAACATTTCTTTCTTAAATTAAGCAAGCAAATGTAAAGCTAACTATGGTATAAAAAGAGAGTAAGCAAACCTGTTCACTGTTAAGAATAAGTGCTTTATCCATCATAAAACCAAACTGGATACAGTATGTCCCCACTTTATGAGGAATTGCTTTATCCCTAAATTAGAAAGAAAGAGATAAAATTATTCACAACTTTTAAATAATGGGGAATTCACAACATCAACATTTCTGTTCCTTCCTCAAAAAGAAAATGCATAAAAAGAGAATTACTTCTATATTAGTCTACATCAGCAAATATTTCCTGCAATATTAACTTTAATTCCAGATCCCTCTTTCACTGGACATTCTTTCCATAAAACATCTAGAAACCAGGCTATGAGTGTGGCAAAGTTGAAAAAATATAAAGTTCATAAAATAATTAACATAAAAAGTGCTGAATTATATGTGAAGAGAATTTTGCTTCAATTCTACATAATAAATTTCTAACTCAAAGTTTTATATTTCAAAATTACAAGCTATCCTGCTGATCTGTGTATGTTGCTTTTATATTTTATACTAGGGGCCTGGTGCACGAAATTCCGTGCATGGAGGTGTGGAGGGTGGGGGTGAGGGGGGGCACCTCAGCCCAACCTGTAT